CGGGAGTAAAAATATAATCTTACGTTAGATTGTATTTAACTGTACTCTTTGAAAGCGAGTAAAAATTAACTAGAACGTCAATATATAAATACGTATGAACCGATAGTAGAGAAATTATGTAATTTAATTCGCGATTCTACATAGAAATAGATTGATATCTTTCTGGAATATTGAAATCGTAATATTATGCTCTTCTGGAGCAATTAATATTCTTCTGAAATATTAACAATGATTTGTTACATCATAAGCAATACAAACTATTATTTAAAAACAACATTTTTTTAGTAGAATGTAAATATTTGTAAAGTTGTGCTTCTTCGAGAACACAATGAGATAGACGTGTACTATTTCTAGAGTACGTTATATTTTACTATTATTATTTCAAAAGAAACATATCAATATTCTTCCGAAATATTGAAAATTATACAAGAATTTATCCTCCTAGAGTAAAAACATAATATGCGTTAGATCATATTTAATTATGTTCTTCAGGAACAAATACTTTTCTAACATAATATTGATATTTAAATAGTTGTACTTTTTCAATAACAACAATATGATACGTATCAATTTAACAATTATGGATAAATTTCTAATAAACAAGCTTATAGAATTCGAACATGCTATTCTTAAATAATAATAAATACTAATAAAGTATATTATACGTGTATGATGTGTCCCATATAAGTATACCTGCAACGTGGGCGCCCCCAGGGCATATCTCCCAGTGGCAAAGGGGAGGGCGGATAGGGCTCAGCGCGACAGTGTGCAGAGTTCGATTCCCCGCAAGGTGGAATTGGCTTTGTTGCAAGCGGGAGTTACCATATGGGTTAACAGTCTTGGCCTATCCATGTGCTCTCTACCCTGACTCCTGGGAAGCACATCTTGCGATTTACCTCCTCCACGATGGCCCAGGGCAGGGTCGGTGGAGGCCCTTAAAGTTGGGGTTCAACCTTTTTATACCTGCAACGTGGGCTAATTGTACAAACTTTATGACAAAATCTAATCACTGAGAGCATTAGACAACTTGCACCAATTCACTAGAATCGCACTGTTTGACTAGGCTTAGCCCCTGTTTGATCCCCATTAAATTACATTCCATCACATTCTATTTTTCTCTCTCCTATTTTCAATCACACAATTTTCTATAAAATTATATTACGCGTAAATCGAATTTTTTTCTTTTCTATTTCAACCACTTATTTTTTCAACAAAACACTATTTCCCCTATTTTCATTACCAAAAATGGGGGCCAAACGGGAGCTTAAAGTCAAGGCCAAATCTAGGGGCACCACTTGGCTCACTCATATTGGAGAGGAGGCTGTTGCGTGGTGTCAAGCCGTCCCTAGATATGGCCATGTCTTTAACCTTGGTCATTTAGTTTTATTCAATTCACTAACACTTTAGGGTTTGTTTGAGCTATATTATTTTTTTAAAAATAAATACTTCAACAGCGATTTGACATCATTTTAATTACACATTTTTTAATAAAATAATATATAAGCAAACTTAAAATATTTTCTTATTTTTTTACCACACATTTCTCATTGATTTGACATGAATAATACATTTTTTTTTGTCTAAAATGTGGCTCAAACATGGGCTTAGTCACAAAGAATAATTCTACTCCTACAAAGTTGGTGTACAAAAGTGGAGTGCCAAAATGTGTTGTCAAAATTTGGACTCTTGATTTCAAATGATTTAAAAATCTGTTTTTGAAATGATTGGTATAAATTTGATTTTGTAACCTAACTTTGTAAACCCCCTTTATCATTGTAGCATAACTCAGTCACAAATCCAGAACCGAAACCTAGGACTTCAAAATCCAATTTTTTCTTTTAATCTTTTGACAATTTTTTATCTAATCGCTATGACATTCCAAGTTATTAACTGATTGTCTGAAGCCAATTCCATCAAGAAAAATGAAGCGGAAAACTTCGACGCCAGTGGCGAAACTATTGGTGAAGAGAAAAGCTAGGGGAAAAAAAATGTTCCTCCACTCTTTTTTTCCTTACAAGAATTTTTTTTTTCTTTCGCCTCATGTGGTAAAATATTTATGAATAGAAAGAAGACTAAATTTTGCTAACTCAATTGACTAGAACTTCGTGCTGATAACGTGTTATGAAAAGGGAAAAGTAAAAGAAAGAATATAAGTCAATAAACTTATGTATATTATTAAGAATCAATTCCTCATATTTATATGATCCAAGATAAGAGTTACAATTGAATTAAATAAATCTTCTAGACTAGACAAGACTAATCTATGTATCATAGTAATACTAAACAATTATCAATAATTATTTCATTATTTTACAACAAAAATGTAATAATTTTTGTTTTAATACAACAAAATTATAGTGTACAAGTTTTTATACTTCAAGGATGAATGATAATTAACTAAAATTAGTATTATTAGCCCTTGTTTGAGTCGCATTATTTGGTAAAAAATAGATTTTCAAATAATGAATTTTTAGAGAATGTGTAGTTATAAAAAAAAAAAAAAAAAGTTTAAGTTTACGTTTAATATTATTTTATTAAGAGAATATGTGGTTGAAAATGAGTTTAGAGAAAAATGAATTATTAAAAAATGGGGGCTCAAACAAGGGGCTAAATGTGTCCATTGTCAATTTACAAAAGGGTAATTGGCATAAAACGTCTCTATCTTTCAAGTGTATTGTGGAAAACATCCTTACCTTTCATTTTTTGGCACAAAACATCCCTACCTTCCACTTTCTTGGCGTTGAACGTCATTTTCATCAATTTTTGACAATTTTATCCTCCATTCAAATAAAACACAAAGAAAAGAGAGGGGAAAAACAAAAAAACTAATTGCAACCACATTCCCAAATTTTCTAAAAATTGCAAATAGTAGCTTGATAATTACAATATTAAATAAATTGAAAAAAAAATCAAAAAATTAATGAAAAAAATTAAAAAAATGGGTTGTCTTCTTCACGATACCCCACCCCACCATACAAAATCTCTCTGCACAGCAAATCCTTCAAATCCGAAACCCCATTACATCTCTCGAGGGTTGTATTGTTATTTTTTAGTTTTGATGATTTCTGTGGGTAGTATAGATGGGGGAAATTTGTCAGGTTTAGGGTTAGAAATGGAAGAAAACGAACTTGAAGAATGAGAGACTGGCTATTTTCAAAATGATGGTTACGATTCCACCATTGACCCTGATATTGCATTCTTTTACATTGTAAGTTCATTTTATTTTTTAATCTTTTTTTGTAATTCAGTTTTTTAAAGCTGCATGTAGTTTGATTTATGAATTATATCCTGTTCAGTTGTGCAGAGAGATGTAATGGGGCTTTGGATTTGGAGGATTTGCTGTGCAGAGAGATTTTGTATGGTGGAGTAGGGTGTGGTGAAGAAGACAACCCATATTTTTAATTTTTTGATTTTTTTTCAATTTATTTAACATGGTAATTATCAAGTTATCATTTGCAATTTTCAAAAAATTTGGGAATGTGGTTGCAATTAGTTTTTTGTTTTTTTTCTTTCTTTTCTTTTCGTTTTATTTGAATGGAGGGTAAAATCGTCAAAATTTGATGAAAAGGGCGTTCAGCGCCAAGAAAGTGAAAGGTGGGGACATTTTGTGCCAAAAAATGAAAGGTAAGAATGTTTTCCACAATAAACTTAAAAGGTAGGGACGTTTTGTGACAATTACCCTTTACAAAATCAAACTTTCATTCATCACTTGATCTTCATTGAGAAAGTTGTATAGTTACGATAAAATTTTACTCCTTCAGTTCCATTTTTTTTTTTATTCACACAAAACCCAACAATTCAATTTTTGATGTTCGTGGCTCCAACTGACAGAAACCCAAATGTAAATGCCAAAAAAATAGAATGGGGATTCATTTTCTATTAAGGCGATAAGTTGGGGACTAATACTGTAATCTCCCTGAAAAATATGTTTTCTTTTACTCTAGAGTGACGGAAAAATTAAGAAACGTCTAGTACTAACTTACATTTTTGTAAGGTAATAAAGAAATAATTATATGAGAAGAAAATCATTTATAAAAAGTGAAATGAGTAATCTTAAAGTACCACACGGAACCCACCACTCTCCCTCCACACCATCATAACCATACTTAAGGTAGCAATTGGCTATATCTATAGGGTCTGCTTGTGAAATTCAGCCTGACATGACTGACTCACCTAGATCTCGAGCCGTGAAGGGCCTTGAGTCCTAGGGTTCGCCTAATTTATAGACTCCGAAAAAATCACATCATTGAAATTTTTGCATTCATCATATTGTGTATTTTTTTAAAAACGTAATTTGTTCAACTCAAAAACCCTTCTTTATTGTCAATTACATACGTAATGTTTCTCATTTTAGTGTCGAGCTCCATCTTGACAAAGGATAGAAAGTAATTTATTGTAGGAGGCGAGCCATTCTCTCCAATTTTAACGTCCACATTGGCAAATCCAATCAATTACATTAACATCTAACAAAGTGACTGAATTTGAAATAAATTGAAAATTTAATAATTTGATTGAGACTTAAAAGTTGAGTGACCCAATTGAGAATTAGCTCAAAGTTGGGTTGTTTCCAATGACCTTTACCCCAAAATTGACATATCAGGAGGACTTCTCAAAAATAACAATGCAACATGCGCACAAACATTGCATAAATGGGTTTACAAAATGTCACGTGACAATATTTCGTTGAATTTTGAACAAAAAATAAAGTTAAAATAGTCAATCAAATGCTGCCATGACAACACCTGTAAAACTATTCATGCAATTTATCTGTACAACTGTACAAGTATTATTTTTGTTCACAAAATAGTCGTTCAGGTTTTAAATTGCAAGGACACTTGATGCAGGTTTAGATTGGCTTAACTTATAAGTAATAAAAACAAGAGGTAAAAATCTCAAGAGTCCAACGGAATGTGTAAATAATAAATGAACAATAATTGTGCATAGTTGTGAATCCTACAAAATATAAGTTAAAATTAAAGTTTGATCAACTTAATTATAAGTTAAGCCAATCCAAACATTTATTTATTTAATGCATGTTTGTTACACAATATACAACAAGACTAGATAATATAATAACAAAATTTTTACTGCTTTATCTCGCTTAGTATTGTCCGCTGCAATCTACTCCTTTTCACACTGGAAAACTATTAATCTTCACAATTCAATCATGATACATCCTCATCTGAAACTAATATAACCCTGTTTTCCTCTATTTTATATCTTAAAACTGATGCAGATGTGCACAAAGGGGCAGAGAAGGTAAAAAAGCATCAATTAAATTGTAAAGAAATGAAGTGATTGTTTGGTGTAGCTTAAAAAGTTGAGATCAAAGCCAAGAGTTAATTTTAACCACTCATGTTATCAATTTTTATCAAAATCTGCTAAATTTTTATTTTTATCTTTTTTTATCAAAAGCTTTGTCAAACAACCCTTAAATGAAGAAAAGAAAATGTTATATACCGGTCAAGATTAGCGATGACAAAATAACAACATAAGCTAGGAAGAAGAAGATTGCTATCTGAAGGAAAAACTTCGGATTTTCCCTCATGTTTGGAGATGTAACGGACCTGTAAAACAGTAATTAATCGTCTTCATCAACCTTACCGTGGATCAATGTGTAGAGGGACAGTGAAAAAGAATGAAATTTGATGCTTTAGGAGATCAATGTGTAGAGGGACAGTGAAAAAGAATGAAATGTGATGCTTTAGGAGAAATTTACCTAGCAATGCGCTGAGAAAGCCGATGGAAGGGCATACTTTGAATAAAGACAATACCAGGTCCAGTTAGAACAGCAGTTACCAGATTTTCACCCTGCATGTGAAGAAATATAGTTAAAAATACGAGGGTTCAATGCCGTGATTGGCTTATTGTATGTTAAAAACGAACACGTTACTGTACATCTTGCAGAAATGTTTTAGGTTACAGAACAAATTGAAATTGCCAAAAAAAAAAATATAAATAAATAAAATAAAATAAAAGCAAACAATAACTGATTAACATGGAATTTTGGGCGTTAAAAGTTGACGAGATGAAATCTGGTGCTTTGCAACACAACGAATTTACATACAGTCTACACTTTACATTTTCTCAGGAACAAGTCAGTCAAAAATGTGCAAATCAGGCATAATAGCTCGAGGTCTACTCTGCTATAAACCACGTACACATAACAAGCTAAGTCGGTCAATATGCTTTCAATTAGCCATGATTGTTGGATGGATTCTAGAAAGCACATATCATTAGAAAAGCCAGTGAAGGAAAACTACAATAAAAAGAAAAATGAAAACTGAAAAAGAAACGAAGTATGTTTTGGAAGTGTTTATAATCAGTTATATAAATAAATAGAAATGAATGATGGATAAATAGGTAATACCAAGTACCCACGAAAAACAGACTGAACCTTGATTGCAGCAGCCTCTTCAACAGCAGAAGCTCTCGCAGAGGCAACACTCGTTAGCTGGATTCCTGTACTGAAAAATAATCAAATCGTTAAAAGTCTTAAAGAAAAACAAACGGATAGAAATTAAAAAAAGTAGAAATTTGAGAGTTGAAAAGGAACCTTCAGGGTCGACTCCATTTCAGTGTTTAATTTTTCGTCGACTGATTAGTCAGTTCTGATGAAGAGAACACAGTCTTTGTATTCTCTACATGATATCCACAAAGGCATAGGCAAAAAAGAAGCAGAAATCTGGCCTTGTGGTCCTTGATCGTGAGCTTTAGATCCTCCTCTACATCGTCGGTCACCGCAATGGATCCCAATTCTTTGTCTCCATTCTTCCTCATCGACAGTGGAACGAAAATCACCTTCATTTTTTTTGGAGAGGTCCTTTATATTGGCTATCCATATTTTGTATTTATAGAGGTGACATTAGTTTAAAAATCATGTAAGAAAGTGGTTTCCATGTAGAATTTGGAATGAAAAATGAAACAGGTCGCGAACTGAGATTTTGGCTTGTATTGTTGCGCTAGTAGGAAAGGGGGCACTCACCCAAGCCAAGTTTGAAGTCATTGTTTTTTATTTCATTAGTCGGTGGTCGCTCAGATTTATAAACTGAGCATTCACCCAGTTATAAAATCTTTCAAACTACATTTTAGTCTTCAAATTCTATTCTTGATACTTTAAGTCATTTTATCTTACAATTTTGGCCCTTTAACTTCCAATTGTAACCAATTGAGCCCATAACATCCTCAATCTTCATTTCATGGTCTGAATCAACGATTGGAATGTAGCAATTTAATCTTCATAAAAAATGAATACAGATATGGAAAACTATGTGCCCAAACAGCGAAATCCTCACTGCAGTCTGGCCGCAACCCAAAGAAGGGTATCTGGTGAGGAGCTTAGTTTTGAACAGGGTTAGCACAATATAACGTGGTAATCCAATTGCTAATTCTATGGAGATGCCTTCCCAAGGACTCTTCAATATGGTATGGATATACTCCTATTACTGTTAATCCTAAAAAAGATGAAATCCTCAATTTTTGGCATAATTTCGAACAACAATATTTTCCTCCTTGTTTGTCTCAAAAAATGGATAAACAAGCACTAAATATTATCTCTGTTCTAAAACACAGAATAATTTTATTTAAGATCCCAAATAAAGCCCTAAATACTTATCCTAGATCATGACACAAATTCAACACCTTTTGATACTAAGGGTAAGCATAATACGTTAGCAAAGGGTCTAATCATGACCTAGTGATGCAGGATAAAGAAGAAGGTAGCAAGAAAGGGGGAGAAACCGGAGAGAATGGGGGAAGAAACAAAAGAAGAAGCAGAAATTCAGGGGAAAAAGAGAAGGGAGAGGAAGGAGACGCCACAACCAATCTCAATAATTCATATTCATCAGAACTAATGAAGTTACATAGAACATTAGGTTTCAATAGTAAAGAGAAAAACTTAACTAGAACAGGCTTGGGTCGATACAAGCTCAATTACATAAATAAGAATCCAAAACTAAAACAAAGTCCAACGAAAAATAAATAGAAATAAATAAAATAGATGACGTCCTCATCAACTTTCCCGAGGTGGGAGAAAAACTCAACCATGTCGAGTTGATACATCACTGTAAGCTGCAATCAATCTGAAACTCCAAATACTTCAAGTCAAGTCACGAGAAACGATCTTTTTGACAAAAGAAGAAAATCAATCATTGGTTGGTGTAAATACTTCAATGGCAGGAAAGAAATTTTATGTGATCTTCAATGGACCACAAAAATGTTTCTATACAAATTGGGCACAAGTTGAACCACTTGTGAAAGGAAAAAAACTACAAACACAAAAGTTTTAAAACTTATACAGAAGCCCAAGAAGCTTTTGCCAAATTTCACGAAGAAAAAGGCTAAAGTCCAATGCCGTACAAACAACTATTTGAATTTGACAATATTCATTTGAAACCAAACTATTGTCAAAATCCAACTTCAATGGGAGCGAGGCCTAGATTTCCAGCTCAACTCTTTAATCCACCAAATGCAAACCAAAAGGTTATAATGATATCTTTTAAAGATGCAGTTGAAACTCAAAAAGAACCAAAATCTATTCCCAGTAGATTCAAAAGAATTGGGAAAATTTCTAAACCACAAGAGAGTCATTTTCTTAGTGGAATTACATTTGAAGACTTTCTCACATATGAGGAAGAAGCAAAAATTGTTGGACCATCTGTCCCTGAAATAGGATATTATGGAACAGTTGATAAAAAATTTGGACAATATATCTTTTTTGAAGGTGCAAATCCAACAATGGTGCAGACAGTTTTTCACTGTGGATTAATCAAAATGATTATTCTAAGTTAATCAATGGAAAAAATCCAAAAATTGGATAGCAATTTGATTAAAGTATTAAAAGAATTGTTATTAAAGATCAAAGTTTGCAGATGATGCTAAAAATTAACAGTACTATTCCTTTCTGTGATAAGGAAGGATGTCTTATCAAAGGATATCATCATATTCAAATCAAGACGATGCCGAAAATTTTTCTGAAAAAACCAATTCAAAGAAAGGTCGATGAATGTGTTAATGAGTTAACACTCAGAGATTAGAGAAATCTTTCATACCAAGGGATTTTAACTGGATTAAAATCTTTCAACAATGAATCAAAAATCAAGATAAATTACTCAACAGATTTTATCTTGGTCACCAGCAAGACGGGGAAAACAATCCAAAGTGATGGAATAAGAATTCTTTGCAATTTCGAAAATAATTTTTATAATTTGCCTAATTCACCAGCAGACTACTAAGGACGTCTTTGCAAATCTTTGAAACGGAGTCTTCGCAAATATCACGAATGCAAATAGTGCCATTTGCTTGAAGAAAAAGACAGAGAATTCTCCAGAAGATTTATTTTGAGAGACTGAAGGAGAGACAAGTGGAGGGACTGGATCCACTACTGAAAAGACATCCACCGAAAGCAAGACTAAGGAGGATAGATCAGATTAATTTTCAGAAAGAAATCTGCTTTTTGAAAAATCTGCCAACTTTTGACAAAGTTGCCACCAGCTTTTTGAAAAGAGGAAGTATCTTTGAAAAATGACGAAAATATTGTCATATCACTTTATCATTACTTTTGCCAAAAGCAAAAGAAAAACTGTTAATAGTGACAAAGAAACGAATAATAGCAGGAAGGAATCTTTCCAATCTGCTATAAAAGGAGGACTTGAAAAAGAGGAAAGAAGGAGAAATTTTTAGAGAAAAATTTTCTTATTCTGAATTCCTAAATGTATACACTGTGAGGCTAAACCCTCAAAGACAGTAGATCCATCTTTGGATCTTTTCATGTAATTAAATAAGTTTAAGAGTTCTTCATACTCTTAAACCTTCTTATTGAATAAAACTTTCATGTTTTAGTCAATTCTTCATACCTTTTCAGTTCTATATACAAACAATGTACGAATCTTTACAGAATCAATGGAACTAAAGTACTGTCAAGCAGGAGGCCGTAAAGGGAAGACAGTCCAAAAAGATTCAACAAAGTGAGACAAAGAAGTATACAGACAGAGAACGTAAGAAGAAGCCATCAATCTATACATAGTGTAAGAAGGTTATGAGTTTTAAAATTTCTTTAAATTTATTTAAAGCATGATTTCCATATGGATTCTACTGTCTACATAAAAATTTGTATACATTTCTTTAGATTATATACAATTTCTATACTTCCGCAATGTCCTCTCAAATATCAAGTAATTCAATAGTTGCTATCATATTTCCTTTATTCTTTTGTGGGTCTAAAGGATTTTCTGAACAACATTTATTTAAAAGTTCTAAAATTTCTCCCCTTCGAGAATTTATTTTAAAACTTTGTTTTTCTTCATTACTGATAAAAATATGACTTTTTTTAGCAATATTTTCACCTTGAATTTCTTTAAAATTCTTCTTTTTATTATCAATTTTCATTGTATTCAAAAATTTTTCTTGTAAAGCATTTATAGCCAATGTTTTTCTTTGTTTTGGAATCCATAATCTTTTACCAAAAAGAGTAAAACTTATAGATTCAATTTCTTCTATGAATGGATGATATAACTGACAAAAGTTATTTCCAATCATAAAATTAATTCCAGTTTCCAATTGGTAAACTGTTAGTACTTTGAAATGAAAAGTTTTCCATTGGGATTTATGGTATCCATTAATCTCAATGTTCAATCCTTTTACTACTTTAGAAACTTTAATTTCAGATTTATCTGCAATCTTAAGTTTAAAATTTTTTCAGATGTAACCCAAAATTGTTTTGGTATTATCCATTTACTTGCAGTACATACTGATGCTCCAGTATCTACATAAGCATGAATATTTATTTTTCTATATCCTTCAAAACTTGTACA